CCCTGCCAAAGGTACTTCAGCACCATTTTGTTTAGACATTTGAAATATTCTTTCCCTAATCTGATTTGTATTGTCTGGAACAAATATAGGATTCTGGGTAGAATGTTCATTTTGATTGTAGATATTCTCCCTATCATTGATAGTTGTAAATTTTCCCATTTCTTCAAATCATTTGCAATCTCTTGTTTAAGTTTATAATAATTGGTCTCTTTAAGTGCACTACATCTTGCTGTTAAATATATCCACAAGTATTTAACCTTGTTTGTGACATCTCCAAGATTTCCGCTAATTCTTCCTTTCGTCTTGTTGATATATTCTTTGTCAAGATCTTCATTTTATCTTTGTTTATTTTCAATCCGGCTATTTTCCCATATTTCTCTATTTTTTCTATTAGTTTGGGAGCTGTTTCCAATGAATCTTCTAGAATGAAAACGAAGTCCTCTGCAAATGCTTGCAATTTGTGTTTTTCCTTTTTAATTTTCATTCCTTTTATTTCCTTTTTTTCTCTAATATTTCTGTTTAAGACTTCTAATGTTAAGACAAAAAGTAGGGGTGATAATGGACAACCTTGTCTCGTCCCTTTCTTTATTTCAATAGGATCTATCAGCTCTCCATTTATCATTATATTTGCTGATTGTTTGTGGTAAATAGTTTGTATTGTTTGTGTAAATTTCTTGCCAAAACCCATCTGTTCCAGTTGCAACAGCATAAAATGCCAATTCACATTGTCGAATGCTTTCTGTGCATCTAAGAACATCAGAGACATTTGCTTTTTGGGGTGTGCCTCATAGTATTCCAAAGTGCCTAGAATTATTCTCATATTGTCTTTAATTTGTCTCTTTGGTAGAAATCCATTTTGATCTGAATTTGTTTCTGAACATAGGTAAAAAATGATCACATTGATTTTAAACCCACTTTTATGTCTAATATAAAAGTTTACTAAACATGATAAAGTATATATGTGATGGCGAACCTATGGCACACATGCCAGAATTGGCACGCAGAGCCATCTTTCCTGGCATGCGAACCATCACCCGTTGCTCTTCCGGGTTCCGACGTGCTGACCAGCTGGTCTTCACATGTACAGGAACACCAGAAACCGGAAGAGCAGCCACTCAGTGCGCATATGCGCACCTGGAAGATTATCTTCCGGTGCTAGCTGGTCTTCACATGCACATGCGTGCCAGAAACAGGAAGACCAGCTGGCTGTTACACATGTACGCACTGGAAACCGAAAGATCATTTTCCCAGTGCATGCACGTGCAATAGGTGGCTGCTCTTCCGGTTTCCGGCACACCTTTGCTCCCATTTTGGTTCACCAACACTGAACTATACTATGCACTTTTTTTTTTATTGTGGCCTTTCATTAATATAATGTTTCAATCACTTTAAACTTCACTGATGACAATCATCTTCAAAGGCTCGTCTCCGTTGAATGCCTCCTCCCCTTCCTCTGAGAAGCTGGTTGCTACTAAACAGATTATTTTCAATCCTGGTGTCCAGTGAGATTCAAATTATATTTACTGGGGAATAGATTATTCAAAAAAATGTTTTTATGAGGTTTTTAGATATGTCAATGCTTGATTCTTCATATTGTCTCTGTTGCTAGCTCACTTTTCCATTGATATTTCAATAATTTCATTATTTTAACAAACCATCCCACGTCTTGCACCAATTTGAAGGTAAATCTAAATAATAAATCTGGAAAAAGATCATCCCTTTGCTTTTTATAAGAGCTGCTTCTAAATTGTGTTTGCCAATTGGAACCTATCCAACGAAACTGATTTCTGGAGCTTGCAATTGGACTGTGGGGCTATTATTATTGTATTGCTTTTCCTCAGGTTCCCCCCCCCCCAGCTTATGGGTCCCAGGCACTTTATACTATTTAGGTTTAGGTTTTATTCAACTTGTATGCCGCCCTATTCCCGAAGGGAAGGGAACAATACAAAAGGAAAAAAACAAGACAAACGACAATACAAAACCAGTTTAAAAGGTCTCAACAAACACAACAATTCGAGTGGGGATGGAACTCAACAGCCCCAGGCCTGCCGGAACAGCCAGGTCTTAATGGCTTTACGGAAAGCCTGAAGGGCTTTCTTTCTCCGTTTTCATTAAATCCCTGCAAACCGCCTACAGGGTGTTAAAAGGTTTGGTTCCCACCCACCCCCATCCCCCATGGTTATGCAGAACTCTCCCAACTCAGTGTTGAGCAACTTTTATGATATGTGGACTACAGCTGACCAGGGAATTGTGGGAGTGGAAGCAGTGGTGTATTAACCATTAAGCAGACTAAGCACAAGCTTAGGGCATCAGACCCAAGGAGCAGGGGATGAAATTAAGCAGATTCTGGAGAACCGGTAATGGAAATTTTGAGTAGTTCGAGAACTGGCAAATACCACCTCTGCCTAGCCCCACAGTGTGGCAGGAATGGAGATTTTGCAGTATCCTTCCCCTGCCATGCCCACAGAACCGGTAGTAAAAAACATTGAATTTCACCACTGCCAAGGAGATACTACAAAGTTGAGAAAGAAAAAAAAACCAATGAAGATTTATACAGTATGTACAAAGGGGGGGGGCACCAAGATTTGTCAGTGCTTAGGACACCAGTGAGCAGTGATAAAATTCATTTTTACTACCGGTTCTGTGGGAGTGGCTTGGTGCGTGTGGCAGGGGAAAGATACTGCAAAATGTCCATTCACTCCCTACTCTGGGGCCAGCTAGATGTGGTTATTTGCTGGTTCTCTGAACTACTCAAAATTTCCGCTACCATTTCTCCAGAAACTGCTGAATTTCACCCGCCAGTGAGCCTTAATATGCCACTGAATGTTACACACCTCAAAAGTGGCTGAGGTCGAGAAACGTCGTTGTACTAGATCGACGTTTCCTTCCTGTGTTAAAAATTTCCGGCCCGGTTGCAAAGGTGCTTTTCTTACCGCACCTTAAAAAGGAATTGTAACCTAAGCTTCCGTGGAGTGCAGTTTCCTCTTTCTTCCAATCAGAAATACCAGGCGTGATTTATTCCGAAAATACGGGGGGAGGAATCCTACTTCGGAAGAAAAAAAAAGTCCCCCGCTGCAAAAGGTCGCAGCCCCGTCGAGTAGCTTTCTCTTTCGATTTCTCTCGCCCTTCGCACCCGTTTTCCCGGGGATTTTCCAGCCCGCGCCTGCTTTTCTCCCAACCAGAACGGATTGCTTCAAGAGGCGGAAAAAGACGGGATTGGCCTTTCGCCTCCGCCAATCATCGCCCTACGACCCAGAAGCTCACCCAGCGGGGGAATGTAACTCAGAGCTCGAGGAAGCGCCCGCGGGGGACACTTTTCCCGGGAGAAGCGAAAGTAGCTGCTGCCGCCTTTCGTCCGCCTGTGCGCTTTGGCCACCTGCTCTTCTTAGGATGAGGGGGCTGCTCTCAGGCTCCGTGCCCACCTGCAGGGCGATTCTGACGGTTGCCATCCTGTGTTACTGCTGCGCTAACAGAGCAGCTTCTTTAGGTAAGCAACCCTGTAGGGCGCTGTACCCCATCCCACCCCCGACTAGCTCTCTAATCAATCCCCACGCAGGAAAGCGGCTGGCTGGAGGCCGAAGAAGGAACAACCAAGTCTGACGGCCGACCCTCCGCTGCGCAAGCCGAGGGGGGGGGGCTCTCCCCCAGAGGGAGAGAAGGTGTTGGTTAGGGAAGTAGGAAATCCCCGTTTAAAGGCGTAGGGCTGAAGGTGAGGGGGTGCCTTTGGAGACGCGTGGAGGATACTCCCACACCCCTCGCTTGCTTCTCCGGGGGTGGATGGATAGGTGGGATGGGGCTGCTGCCCCTGGGGCAGGTAGTCTCTAGCGAGCGCCGGGAACTGCGCTGCAAGCGCCTCTCGAGCTTGCTCTCGCCCTTCCAGCATCGCGCGCGCGCGAGAGAGCTTTCCAAGTCTCCGGTTTGCGCCAAGGCCGCGCATTTAGAGCCGTGACTTGACAGTTTTGTTGTTGTTGTGGGGGTGCTTGTGTTTTGAGCCTCTGGCACTCTGGTGGTTGTCCCAGAGGCTTTTTAACCTGAACGTCGTAGCAGGAGTAACTTCAGAATATCGCCGACGACGACGACTTAGCTATGCCGTTTGCAGCGGGGGTTTGGGAATGGGCGTCGGAGGCAGAGACCACGGCTTCCTCCAGGCTCCTTTCGCTTTCTTTCCCAGAGTTATTTAGAGGGTTTGCCAGAGATTCCTTGCGTGCTTTGATTTTTTTTAGGAGTTAAAAACTTGGCTTACTCTTCGGTGTAAAAGCAAAAAAGAACGCGGGGCTTTTGAAGCTAGGTGGAGAACCGAATTGGATTCAAGGAGACTTTTGGTTTTCACTTCAAGACGGGGGTGGGGGGGTTCTTTCCAATGCTACATTTGACTGGTGGACTTTTTTTTTCTTTTTTGGAAAGTTTTTATTTTATTTTTATATAATCACTTTTACATCATTAATCTTACAGTGTGTCATCTGGGTACAATCTTTGTCTCATTATATTTAACGGTTACATCATTTTAAATCTATTTTTATCTTACTTTTACATTTACATTTACATTTACATTGCCTTTTAATTCAACTCCTCCCCTATAATTCTCTGTTCTTTTCCAAATTATTCAATTGATGGACTAGTGCACTTTATAAGTTGTGTGTGTGTTTGCGCATGCGCAATAATGACAAGTGTTGAAGTTCTGGCAGGAAAAAAAAAACCGGTAGCAACCAAATCATCCTGATGAATTGAAGTTTCAGTTTGATTTCACTGGTTTTGGTTGATCTGAAAACTTTAAGACTATTACTGTATTTTGCAGGTCTGTGCAAGATTATACTGCGTTCTGCTGATAAGCATTAGCTGGTGTTTTTCTTAACGTTTTTTAAATTGCTTTAAAGAGATTGTGAGTTGAAATTTGAACCTACCGTTAATTCTACATTACTGTATAAATACACTATATTGCCAAAAGTATTCGCTCACCCATCCAAATAATCAGAATCAGGTGTTCCAATCACTTCCATGGCCACAGGTGTA